CTTGCACAGAAAGAGAAAAAGAAAGAAAAATGGTGGTCATAACCAAATATCTGTTAATCGACTTCACAAACATTATGTTATCGTTTATAAATTCTTTAGCAGTGATGATCAATAATTTTTGTGTCACATTTTAATATAACTTCTTTAAAATACTACTAAAGTATAACAAAACACAGACACTAGCTTTCCAGAGGCATCAGATTTCATCAAACTCTTTATGTTCTATAGCTCTTATTTAACAGGTTTAGATATTTGAATTCTGGCTATAATATCTATGGTCAAAAATAAACAACTACATGGCAGTGTTCTCAATACTTTATAATTGATCATATCATCAATGTCACAGTGCTATAAATATAAAGGTTTCTGAAATGTCATAAAAGTGTAATTAAAATAAATAATAAAGGTTAAAAAATTGGAAATAATATGCATATAAATGTTATCCAAACTAGTAAAAAGCATGTGTACAGTATATTTACTTAAAAAATATAATCACCATCTTCAAAACTTTATATGTACATAATAAAGTACTAGAAAATACATAAGTCATAAAATTTAGCATATGAGAACATGTGGTAATTCACATAGGAGATACATATATATATGTGTGTGTGTGTGTGTGTGTGTCTCCAGAAAAATGACATACATAGGTCTTCTGAAAGAAGAACTCACAAAACTAGTATTCTAGCTCCTTCTTTAAACCTTTTCTTATTTCAAACAACTAAGTTTCTACCAGGAAGTACAAAAATTTAGCAATTACTCAAAGCTTATTCATTGAACTGAAAATAATAAAAGTAATTTACTTAAAACTTTTTTTCTACTACTTCCTTTATCTTCAGGGTTCTGAGGTTGAGAGGCAAAATTAAGACAAGGAAGAAGGAAAAGATATAAAGGAAAAAGAAGGAAGGAAGAAAGGAAAATACGGAAAAAGGACAAGCTAGGGGGAAAGCCCTAAAGACGGAATGGATGTGAAGAAATAGGAAAAGGACGGCAAGAGTGGTGATCAGAAAAATCGGTACAGAAACCTAAAGTATATGCTCAGATAGAAGTCAAGTAACACTGTTTGAGGCATTACTTGTACTAACCAGTGTGCCATCAAACAACGTGTCAACTTTCCAAGTTTGCAATCTTTGAAATAGCAATCACTTTCCTAGAAAAAACAATTCATTTTTACTGTAAATAAAAGCTAGTATCTCTATAAATACTGTTTTAGGACAAATTAATTGGACAACATGTCTTTGAAAACCTAAAATGATTAACAGATATAGTTCAGAACTTATTTTAATAGTCATTTTTTAATGCAGTTCAAACTTTTCCAGTGTGGCACTTTATATTATGAAGAAAGGAGAAATTAATAATGAAAAGAGGTTAGAAGAAGCACAAGAAAAAAAAAGAAATCCAGGGTGGATTAACTCTTCTCGCCAAAAAGAAATAAAGAACCAAATAAATCAAAATCTTTCATATTTAATACTGAAAAATAGCAATGCCTTTTCTTTTCTCCATGTTAACATATTCAGATTAATTAGATCAAATTGAGTAACTTGAAACATTATGACAGAAATTCAGTGATTTAAAAAAAAATTTCTGTATTTTTAAAGAATATACTGGCATACCTATAAATTACTGAATTTGAATTTATTATAATAAAAAGCATTCTGAAATGTATATTGTAAAATTAATTCACCAAGGGGTTTTTCAAGTGTTTGGTTGATTTATAAAATTGACTGTCAGTTTACTTAACTGCTTGTTCTTTGATAAACAAATAGAATGGTTAGAACAAGTAGTTAGAAAAAAAAGTATCAATCTACAAAAATGTCTTTTCTTCAATCATTTACCTCATACTATTTCCAAACAACAAGGAATCACACTGAAATGGATAGAGAAAGACAGACATATTAAACTAAAAAGGCTGTCAATCTAGATAGATAGATAGATAGATAGATAGCTAGATAGATAGATAGATGATATAGAGTTTATAGATATGTACATGGAGATATGTATATATATAGAGAGAGAGATACGCCTTCTATAAAGTTAACCATAGATAAGAAGCTTGTCACACTTCTCACCTAACAGCCCCTTATTTTTTCAGTATATACTGTTTTAATTATTCCCATATTATTCCTTCATTATTCTTATACCTGCAAGTACAAATACTTTATGTATAATGATAAATTACCTGTATGGGGAAAGTTCTATGAATGGAGGTATGCTATAAACCACTAAGAGTTTACAGTCAGATTTCAGCTTATACATATGACTGTAGAATTTGTTGTTATTGTGATCGATTTGATAAATTAGCAAATTTAAGCAAGTTTTCTATCTTCACATTCTTTAGAGTACACTAGTCCTTACACTACGTAAGTTAGATGATTATTTTTACTCTTAAAGCGGATCACGAGGTCAGGAGATCGAGACCATCCTGGCTAACACGGTGAAACCCCGTCTCTATTAAGAAATAAAAAAAAAAAAACTAGACGGGCGAGGTGGCGGGCGCCTGTAGTCCCAGCTACTCGGGAGGCTGAGGCCGGAGAATGGCGTGAACCCGGGAGGCGGAGCTTGCAGTGAGCTGAGATCCGGCCACTGCACTCCAGCCTGGGCGACAGAGCGAGACTCCGTCACCAAAAAAAAAAAAAAAAAAAAAAAAAAAAAAAATGGTTTGAGTGCCTTTCAATGAATAGTTATGACATAAATATAACCATGACATTATTATCTTCTTAAGATCATATGTATTAAATGGTCACATGTATGTGATTTTTTAAAATTTTAATCAGATTCTGGCCTACCTTCTAGGAAACTGCCATCTAAAACTGACAATATACAGACATAAAAACAAATAGAAAAATAAGCCAATTAACACATACATGATTGAACACTCTACTTCTATGTGTACAAAAGACATAAATTCAAATTAATTATGGAGGTAAAAAAACACAGGTACACTTCTGAGGGTTTTCTAACACTACAAATAGACTAATATTATTATCTCTAAATCCACATATATAAGCTCACCCAAACTAAGGAGATTACTAAAAATCTAAATTATTTAATAAACAAAAAACTAGTTTTTTCTACAACAAAGGTCAGTAATATGCAGACTCGTTCACTTGTAATTTGAAAAATGCTGAGCCTCCATTTTTTAGTTACTCATTGTAAGTGACACGTTTCCTCTTTTCCTCCCTCATCGTTTATTGTTACTGTCCCATTTCATTTCCTTGCTACCATGAGCTACTCTAGGTATTCACTGATAAAAATGAATAAAGATTAACTGTGTACACATAAAAATGTAGAGATTATACTACTTACAAATATTTAAATAGACAAAATCAGTATCAGCCTTTTAAAAATGTATGGATAATTTTTTTTGAAATACACATGCCTTAGCAAATTCAGTGTTAGACTTATGGAAATATTTTTCACTAAATATGTAATTTGATTCATGCAAATATTCTAATAAGGGATCACAATTTAGACGTGTGATATAGAAGAGGAGGGAGAACTTACTTCAGATGTTTTCTGGTGAGAAGGCAAATAAAAGTCTGGTGGCTGTACCACCAAATGAAATCAGAAGAAATAGCTCGTTTTGAACGGGTATTTATCAGTTAAAATGTTCAAGTGTGAAGGAAGGAAATAGAGTCATCTTTGGTTGGGAAATTTTTTTCTCTCTTGGTATTTAATTTGCTGACAGATTTAAAATTCTCCTTAGTGGTGGACCAAACAAGGGTCTCCATTTATCCTTATTTATTATTTCATTACATGAATTAAGCACAAACCTGATATGATGCTCTGTGCACCAAGAAGTATTAGTTAATTGAATATAAAGATAGGGTTATGCATTCTAGAATGAGAGAGGGAAAATTCTGACACTGTTTTGCAAACAGTGGTAAAAGTAAAAAAAACTTTAGGTATTATCCTAGAATAGGTAAGTATATTACAATTAATATCACTTATTATTAATAAGTGATATTAAATATATTTAGCTATGACATAAACATAACCATCACATCATTGTCATTCTCAAATCATATGTAAATCATAAAAATATATATATTATAAATGTGTTTATATTAAAATTTAAAGTATATGTCATTGAGGAGGTCAAAAAAGTTATTACAAGACAATGCAAAGATCATGTCTCTGTTCAAATGCATCTAAAGAGTTATTGTAACAGTTATGAAAACAAACCAAAATTTTTGTTTTATGTAAGCACAGTCTTTTTACAGCCCAGTTCAGTTGGAGCATTTCTGAACGTGCTGGGTTTGCATATTAAGTGCGTCACTTAATTAAACATCCCAATTATGTGTGGGAGATTGGAAAGGCTCTTAGTATAGTGTCAGTCCAATTCTTTCTTCACTAAATGTGAATTGGAAATAGCAGTCACAATCTATAGATGACATTTACAGTATAAAACATTATTTTCTTGTTAACAGGGTCTGCCAACTACTGCTTCACAGATCTTTTTATTCTTTGCTTAAAATTTGAAGACAAAGGAAGTCCTGACACCTTTGCCTTCTTGGTACTTGAAAAATGTAACTATGATAATTAACTACTTGTGTAATAAAAGCAAAATTTGTTCTCATGTTACAGTATCTGCTCTCATTTTAACAGACTGTTAATAGAAAATATTTTATTGTACATTCTTGATACATTTCTTCTGTTCACTTCTATCCTCTGAAATATATTTACAGTTTATTTGAACATAAGAAACTATTTATTGCATTGAAATGCCAGCTTTGGTAAAAATTCAAGCCTTGGTTACATGTATAATGTCTATCATAATAATAGCCTTTCAAAAGCTCCTGGTTTTATGGTATTAAAAAGAACTGACAATGAATTGAGTGGTATTTGTAAGCTTTTCATCAAGTACTGAACAGGAGTATTTAAAGAGATCTGGGATGGACAGTGCATATTGCTATTTGAAGCAATCTTTTAGCAGCAGGGAAATAGTGTGACAGGAACAACAGAGATAATATAGCACAGTGCAATAACAGACACAGATA